GGTCCGGGCCCCAAGGGCGCACCCCCCCCAGGCCAAAGCCCGACAGGCCCAGAGGCCCCGAGCCCCAACAGGTAGTCACCAGGCCAGCCTGTTCTGTCTTTGACGCACCTGCAGGGTTCAGATCTTACTGTGACCGACTGATGTCAGTGTTTCAGACACACACCTGTACGGGGTACCGTTTGTAAAGTTACACAGTCAAAAATTACCACCAATATTTTTTTTTATTTAGCCTTCCTTAAGAAAAAAAACAGATTTAAAAGTTGTTTGTTTACATTTTTATCACATCTGAGCTCTGAAGCGAAGAACTTCTGTCAAACAACAGAAGTAAATTTAGATAAATCACGAGCTGCAACAACAGAGATAAACATCTTGAACTTGACTTGATGTCATATCTGTTTAAACAGAACTGATCTGAAGTCATTTGAGCCTAACGTGCCTGGAACCATTATTAAACAACAGTTTCATCAGGTAAAACTTGAACCCAGTTGGAAATGTGCTCAAATATTTGGAAAAAAAAAAAAGACTTGACTTGTCAGGAGACGCACAAAGTCTAATTGCATTAATTAGAGTAATTGTTTGTGTTACTTTTGTATTCACGGTGACGCAAACATTTCTTTCTTTGTTTAATTATCGAACAATCCTGTTTGTCTGGTTTCAATGCCTTATATAAAAAGAAGCTGGGCCAGAGTCATGTTTAGATTAAAATTATGTTTTTAATTTTATTATTATTATTATTATTCAGTTTATGATGACTTAATTGCAGCAGATTAAATAATGGTCAGAGACCTATGAAGCTGAGATATTCAGAGGAGTAAATGAGACAGAAAAACATTGAACTGAGAGTATATGTTTAAAATAAAGTAGAATAAAAAAGTCTGTAAGAAAGCAGAAGTGATAACTTGAAGATAAAAGTATTAAATGAATCAAAGCTGCTGTTTTGACGTCAGAGGAATTGTTTGTTGTTACTTTGGCGCCATCTAGCGGTGYCGCTGCGGAACTACAGCTCGTTCTGTCGCGTCTGTTTGCAGAAATGTCCTCTAAAATCGCTTCTGGGGTTTTGAAACTAACTCAGCGCGTTAGGTTTGGTCAGAGTGGTTTTGTTACTTCGACGTGCAGTGGAAAACTGAGGGTTGAACATGACCGACTCAACCGACGCTTCACCGTCGCTCCGAGCAGCGGCGCAGGTAAAGGCACGTGTCCGGGCTTGACGCTCTGATTCCCGGGTAGATTCTGCAGGAATGTTCGGGGCTCTCTGGCGGCCTGCTGGAAAACATTTATTACCTTTACTAAAAGCAGTCAAATTTATATTTWAACTGTTAACGGAGGATATTGTCGGAGATATATTATAATTCTTTATTATTCCTGAAGAAAACGGAGCCAAATTAATTAACGTCAGCCAAATTTTATTTAAAAATTAGTAATTTTTCAGGTGTTTTTGAATTTTAGGAGCAGTTTATTAAACAATGTGAAAACATGTGTAAATTTGGGCGTGTTTCATCACCAGTGACAGTTCGGCTTATATATAATAAATAAATGGCACTATTTAGTCAAAAATAAATAGATGATTTTACGTGAAGTATCAACAGATTAGGCCTTTATGTGACCAGAGTCATTTTATGTCAGATAAACACACAAATATGTGTTTTTTTTAAATAATAATCAGTCCTGTAAGTCTTAATATACAACCTTTTCTCTGTGTCCTTACAGGAACTGATGACTGTGCAGTTCTGTCCTACAGGTTCATCGGGGAGAAGGAGGTGGACCTGATGTCCACCTTTGTACCTGAGACCTTCAGAGGCCATGGCATCGCCGCGCTGCTCTCACAGGTGAGTTYCAGGAGTCTTCTGTAGAGTCGTATACACTTAGGAATGAAATTCTTAAATGTGCTGGTTCTGCAGGCTGCTGTGGACTTCCTGTTGGAGGAGAACCTAAAGGCTCGGGTCTCCTGCTGGTACATCAGACGGTACATTGAAGAACAGCCTCAGCAGCTGTGTAAAGACCTCCTCATCACCTGACTGTTTATGGACCAMCCTCATCATCCCAGTCAGATGGGACTTGAATTAAATATTTGAATTATTATTTAATGAACTGTTATTAAAAAGTGCTGGCTGACAGTGAGCACCTGCAGCTCCACCTGGACCAGAACAACAGGTCTGAGAGATGGGTTGATTAAATGTTAAGTGCATTTATAAAGGAAAAATRATTATGTACAGACAATTGTGCCCTATTTTATTAAATTATGCTTTTTAATGCATTTGTATAGTTGATTRTATTGATTTTTGCTCATTTATTTATTAAAATCAAATGTAATTTGAGTGTTTTCTTTCATTGTTTGAAATTGCAGAAACAYCAAAAGGTGCTCCAACAGTGAAGTTGCAGAAATGTAAAAGTTATGACGTAAGATAATTCTGCAAAAATAAAATAAAAACTGTAAAGAACCAGGGACACTTTTAATCAGCCATTTATTATAGGTGCAACTATTGTCTCATTTTTTAAATTAAGATGTTAAATGAACAGAAAATTCAAATAAAGTGACTTTAAGGTAGTTTGAGTTGTATTAATAAGCTGAGGTCGCAGCAGCTGTCCCATCTGCAAACATGAAACAATCAGGATTCAAGGATCAGCTGCTGTAAAACAACKTTCATTGGGTTTTACTGACTGATTATCTGAAATAAACTAAATTATTTACTTTTCGTCCCAGCAGATGTCAGTGTTATTCTGTCTGCATCATTTCCTTGTATTTCCAGAAATAAGTTCTCGTTTTTAATACRAACCATCAGCAAACGATGCAGAGATGCAGTCGGATGATGCTGTTTGACCTTCACGTGGATCAGAGGCAGATAAGAGGTCTTATCCTTAAAGACCTCCTTATCAAACAACAAGAYGTAAGAAAACACAAAGCAGCTTTTTGACCCTGAGTTTGGTTTGTGTCTCTTTTCAGTCACTGAATGTTTAAAGTACATTTACAGAATGTCTGCTTGTTAATCCATGATTAATTAAAAATCAGCAAAGTCCACCTGAAGATATTTTTCCTTTAGCAAAGGTCCAGAAAAAAGATGCTTAATCACCATAAATACCAGAAAAGCTGCACCTCTTTAAATAAAATACCTTAATGTTAAATGAGAGTGCGTCATAAACTGAATCACTGTAATGTGTAGAAAAGCTGTGCAAGTACAAAYACATTTGTTTTAAAAATAAGACTTTAATTTGTGAGATCTGGGTTCAGATGAGTCAGATGTTTGTCTCTTTCAGCTGTGCTCAGCTTCAGCAGGAAGTTAGTTTGGATAAAAAAGAAGGCGGGTCCTGCAGAGGCTCCTCCTCCTGCAGGTCTGCAGCCCTTTTCTCTGAAGCGGGAATAAAAACACGCTGGATTAACGTTAGATTAATCATCCAGGAGGAACCTGGAGTGGTCTTCAGCAGTAGGCCTCGCCATGTTCTGGTTCCACGTCCTGGAAGACGCACGGCGTCCCCGTGGGGGGCTTGTGTCCGTTCACCAGAGGCTCTGAGGGGATTTCTGCCTGGGCCGGCTCCGAGCTCACGTACATGTCCCACATGTGCTCGGGCAGACCCAGCTCCACCATTTTCTGCTTGATCAGCAGGTTCTTCTCGATGTTGTGCCGCTTGTATTTGAACTCGATGATGGTCTTCGTGTACCTGTTCAGCGTCGTCACCGCCGAGCCCATGCAGGTGCCGAACGAGCACCACGCCAAGCTGGATTTAAAACAACAACAACAACGAATAAAAACACAGTTACTGTTTTTATTTTATGATCAACTCAAATAAAGAGAAAAAATCTTTACGCATAAGACCAGCTGTAGTCCCAGGTCTTGGGCCTCCAGTCCTCTGGTCCCATAGAGACGGCCAGGTGGAATATGGTGGTGAACATCATGTGGGCCACCATCCCACAAAGGCCTGAGGAGCAGAGCAAAGCTACAGCACGTTCAGAGCGGACCTCCTGGTTCTGCCTCACACAGCCTGATGTGAGACAGAACGCTGAGGAAATAAGCCTGGCTGATTCTGGCCAACGTTTAGCCTCTCCACAGCTGTTTTTTCTGGGGATTAACACACAACAACGGTGCGTGGTGTGTGTGTGTGTGTGTGTGTGTGTGTGTGTGTGTGTGTGTGT